AAATGTAGATGCAAGACAAAGCTTTGACGTTTCCAATAAGCGATTTAAGTAAATTTGTCGTTTCCATAGTCCTTGTTTTATAGGCGGTCAAAATTGAAAAAATTGAAAAAATTGAAAAAATTGTAAAAATCTACGGTGGTACAAAATATTAGTAAAATATACTGTGCAACGTAAATGTTATTAAAATTATTCAAAATGTGGTTTCTAAACAAAGCTTTGACGTTTCCAATAAGCCTACTAGTAATATTGTCGTCTGCGCAGTTTTTGTTTTATAAGCTGTCAAAGTTGAACAAATTGTAAAAATCTACGGTGCTACGTATTTAAATCTACGCTGCTACGAAAAGGAAACAAAATATGTATTCAAATTGTGACGTGACAAAGCTTTGACGTTTCCAATGAGCCTACTAGTAAACTTGTCATTTGCATCTTTCTTCTGTTATAACTTATAAGCTGTCAAAGTTGCACAATAACGACGTTTTGAATGAACCAAATTTCAAGTATGTAGTATACTTTGGTAGTTTATTACAAAAACTGTCAAAGTTGAATAATAATTACTCTATAACCACGTATATTAATTAGATCATTTTATATTTCAATTAAAGATAATACTATGACGTTTAGAATGAGCCTATTAGTAAACTTGTCATTTGCGTCGTTCTTTTGTTATAAGCAGTGAAAATTGCACAATAAAATATGTGATTGAAATAAAAAGTCTTATCAGCTTATTTTTAATTACTCTGTAATGACATTAAATCATTTAAAATTCCAATTAATAATAAGATTATGAAGTTTTGAATTAACCTAATTTAAGATTTATGTTCTAATTTGTTATTTAATGCTCTCAAAATATGTCTAAAAAAATAACATTTGTTATGTGTATGTTTGGTTGCATACATTTTATATTTTTGAATTTTGCTAATATTATTTATTTAATTATTTTTCCCCATTTAAAAACAAAATCTAAAAAGTTAATTTTTCAGAATACCGACATAAAATGTTTACACATTTTTTTGTTACTCTATCTTACGTAACAATGAAATACGTAAAAAATAATAATTTCTTGTTGCAGTTTTTTTTTGTATATAATCGATGTTAATTAAATAATTATAATTGATGACCGAAATACGGCGATTCTATCATTTCATTTGAATGTCTTCACCTTTTTATTAATTACTCGTTAACAAAACATGATAATTTGTCTATGAAGCTGAAAATTAGATATAATTAAAGACATTTCTAATTAGTGTTTTACAATATTCTCCCATGATTATCCCTCATCATCCCTTATCCCTCAATATGTGCATATTGAGTAAATTTAAGATCGCAGTTGACATTAATCGAATAATCTTTGCTGGTGGATAGTTACCATTATGATGATTTGATTTTAATTTGTTGGTTGGCTGTCGTCTTGTAGGTTAACTTCAGTAGTATATTGATGCTCTGCGATTCCACTATTTCCTTTGACTGTGAATATGCTGCTATCCTTAACACTGGCATTATCCATCGACTTAGATGAAGGTCCATATGCTGATCGTCATTAATTTGACTGTCCATCTGTGATGATCGATGGTCCTATTGCTGCAAGCACCAAGAAGGCTCACAAAGGGCCTGGCTTGACCAGGATTTGAACCTGCGCCCACTAGCTTCTGGGTAGGGCGACTTAACCATTCGGCTATTAGACACCCTCCATCAACATTAAGCAAGAAATTAAGCTTAAAATGAAGTGTTTTCACCTTTTATTTAATTATGTGACAACTACAAATGATAATTTTATCATTGAACATACAAATTAAAGAAGAAAGTATGATCTTTCAAATGAACATATTACCATTTTTTTGGAACTTATATAATTTCTGAAATAAAATGAAAATACAGACTTATCAATATTTACATAATAGAAAAAAAACTGAACACTTATTTAATAATTACATATCGATGAGGCTTTTATTTCAAATCTCTTGCATTCAAAAAATCTTTATTTTTATAATTTTTATAATTATATTCATTTTATTGAAGATTTTTCAAAACTATTTTCATTTTTATTCTTTCAACTCAAAAACTATAACACTTTAAACATTGCTTGATTATATAAGAAAGACAGTTTTATTGTGTATCTTTTGATATAACAGTCGTTACCTAATGTCAATTGTAGACTTAGATACATCGATTTTTGTTAATTTACAAAAATATAGAAAAAATTGAAAAACCGCCATTTCTTAGTTCTGTTTCTAAGGTCAAGGAACTCCATGACAACTAACAACTATTATAATTATTGTAGGCGGCTTTTTTTTAACAAAAGTTCGCTTACGTCTTTTTTCATAATAAATATTGTTTAAAAAAAACGCTTGATAATTATGCACTAACTCAATATTAATCAATGTCGTACATTGTGAATAGTATGGAAACAGCATTATAATCTGTACTATACAAGTTTATTCAATGTAAACCAACATAATTACTTAATATAAAGATAGTTAGCTTTTACCAAAAGAAAAAAAAATATGTAATCAAATTGTAATACAACAAAAGTATCGTTGGTTTTGCGAACATATATTATTTCCTTAATGCCTGCATATTAAATTATTACACCGTTCCATATGAATGCACATCAAACCAAAAGAAACGACGCGAAGATTTAATTTCCTTCCTCGTATAATACGTTAAAAAAATACGATTTTCCATTGGCTAATTGTTAATTGATTCGATTAGCATAAAGAAAAGGTAAGATAAATAAATAATTTTCGCGATTGTTGTGCAAACGAATTTTGCAAGTATTAGTTTTTGGTGATGATTACGTAATTGATCCTGCGGTGGCGGCTGCTTTAAATATTTGTGCGTATTTTCACATTGATTTTGACGTCTCCTCCTGCAGAACATGGATGTATAACGGTGCTAGAGGTAATGCGAGAGAGCAGGGAAAAAAGTGAAAGTTCCGGCATTGCCATATACACGAATCGCTACAAAACTGTGCAGTGATAATTCGTCGGCGCGAGTGCTCGAGCCGGGGAGTAAACAAAGCAGCGCTCGAAGTTTTTGCGAATTCGTAAAAAATATAAAAGTGATTTGAGATGAATTTGCTGATCGGGATTTTGATGGTCGTTGCGTGTGCTTGCGCGCAGAGCTTCTTCTCGAGGAATCGTTTCAGGAGGTTTCCTGGGGATACTAGAGCGGCTCCGAGGATTTCGCTGAAGCAGAGATTCACAAATAGGATTATGCAGCATAGGCAGAGGAATACGGCAAGAGTTTGTTATGGTAAGTTTGTTACTTGCCAAGTAAATTGTCAAGTAGTATTAAGCAGGGCCTTATTGAGGTTATCGTTGGTCCTAGACACCATACATCCTTCTCACTAGCCGGCATTTCAACTAAATTTGTTTTTGAATCCTACATTCAATATTTATATGTGGGCCCCAAAAAAAAATATCGTAGGTCCTAAAATATCTCGTGGGCCCTAGATAATGTGATGAACAATACGGCCGTGGTACTAATAAGTAACTGAAAGTATAAGTCTAGGTTAGATGACAGTTGTCAAGTAGCACTGAAAGTAACTGAAAGATAGAATAAATTGGCTTAAACTAAAAATATAAGTCAATTTCTATATTTGCTAAAGTATTTTGTTAAATATTACAATAATTATTATTTCAAAATGTAAGCTATATCCATTTTTTTCAAGTACTTGCAAAAGTTACTTGGCAAGTAAGTCGTAAACATAGTAACGTCCTAAACATAGCTTTTAATATATACATTATGTGGTCATTATTTCTTTTTATTTCAAGTAAATAAATAAGTTACTTGGCAAGTATTGAGTAGTTAATACCTGTCTTTATGAATAATATCAACTATTAAAAATAAAACTTTTATTATAAAATTTCCATTCAATACTGAAATAATAGTATTAAATATGATTATTTGTTACAAGAATTAAGTAACTTGGACAAGTACTTGTGAAACTTATTTAAGACTTATTGATTGGTGTGTACGTACCTTTATATACATCCAGTTTTCTTAAATTATTAACAAACTTTTAAATCTCAATTGCATTATGTATAGGTATTTCTTTTATAGTATACAAACAAATATTACTTTACTAACTATTAAAAATTATATAACATAAAGAAAGAAAAATTTGTTAGAAAATTAGCAAGTTCAAAAATGTATTTACTTTAAAAAAATATATAACAGTATGTTGCTAAGTGTTTATTAAAGTAGAGTTTAAATTTAACAACTTTTGACAGCAGAAACGTCATACTTGACAGTTGAATGATTTGACAATTGTATATAGTTGCTTTACGTCACAATAGCAAAAGTCAATATATATTTAAAAGCAATTTTTATTTTATATTTTTTTTGTTATTTTATTTTATAATTATTTTCAAATAAATTGAACAATTCTTTATTAATTTTGTTTGATACAAATTTGTAATTAACTAAATTATTAACTGTAATTTTCTTTTATTCATCTAATATTGATGTAATAATTATACTAATATTAAGTAAAACAAAATACACGAAAATCAAAACTTATAATTAATTTTGGAAACAATTTAATTTTTAAGTAAATTTTATGAAAACTGTAAATTGTAATGTAATTTTGAATACACTGACGATATTTTTTTCTTCTCAAAACTACGAAATAATAGTAGAAAGTTGTGAAAAGTGAGTTTGCTTATGTCTCAAGAGAAGATACAATAATATAAAAAGAGATTTATTATTCTGCTGTTGCATTACAAAAACGTTAATCTTCAAGTAAAGTACAGAGAATTATGTGTACATCTTTATTGTTGCAAAGAAAACAATGATGTAAAGTGAATTTAAATAGTTAATATTTTTTATACGAGTTTTGAGTTTATTAGTATATAGTGTACATAATATTTATAAAGTCATTACAAAATAACAAGACAAGAAAAATGTAACAATTTTGTTTGTATGTGATACTACTTTTAGTTATTTGCTTCATATTTTATTCACGGTTTGGTCATAAAAATGCTCAAATACAATTAATTGAAACCTAATTACAAATTCTATTTTTTTTAAATATAATTTAAAGTGTCCTTCAGTTTTTAAACGGTTATTGTTTACGACCAATTTGACACAATCGAATTTGGGTCATTGACGTTTCAATTGGAATTTCCTGCAACCGTGCATGCAATCGTATTTAACGCACATTCTCCACTTTACAAAGAGGTTTTGCTTGTTTATTAACTATGAGCACATACTCCATTTGCATGCAGATTTGAACAGTGCGGTCCATTTAATGCGGATTTGCATACAACTGTTATACTGCTAAACGTTATGCAATTCAATCATTTATTGACAGTTGAATGGTCAAATTTAAAACTGGAAAAACTTATATTTACAATCAAATTGAATATAGAAAGTTATATAATCACTATGGAAAAGAAAAATAATAAAATTGGAATGTTATTACTTATCATACTTTGATAGTTTTAAATTTCAAATTGTCCAATTTTAGTTGTCAAAAATGTATATTATTTTATATTTTCTCATATTTGTTTTAAAAATGATTTATTTAAGTTTTGTAAACATTATGGAAACGAATAAAATAACAAAATTACGATTGTATTTGGCAAGTTCATCTGGTGACTAAATTCTGCAACTTTTGACAGCAGGAACGTCATATTTAACAGAAGAATGACATAACAATTGTAATATTTACTTTACATAATAATAACCAAAATGACACCAGAACCAAAGTAATCATTAGGATTAAGACTTTAAGAAAAGAAAAATAATAAAATTGATTTTTTTATTATTTTAGATTCTTTGGTACTTTTAAATTTCAAGTTGTCAAAAATGTATATTATTTTATATTTTCTCATATTTGTTTTAAAAATAGANTAAATTTTATAAATAGTTTTGTAAACATTATGGAAACGAAGAAAATAACAAAATTAGGATTGTATTTGACAAGTTCATCTGGTGAGTAAATTCTGCAAATTTTGACAGCAGGAACGTCATATTTAAAAGATGAATTACATAACAATTGTAATATTTACTTTAGATAATAATAACCAAAATGGCACCAGAACCAAAGTAATCATCAGGATTAAGACTTTAAGAAAAGAAAAATAATAAAATTGAATTTTTTATTACTTTAGATTCTTTGGTACTTTTAAATTTCAAGTTGACAAAAAATTATATTACTTTATATTTTCTCATATTTGTTTTAAAAATAGAATTATATAATGATCTGTGAATGATTAATACTAAAAAAATGTGTAAATTTTATAAACAGTTTTGTAAACATTATGGAAACAAAGAAAATAACAAAATTAGGATTGTATTTGGCAAGTTCATTTGGTGACTAAATTCTGCAACTTTTGACAGCAGAACCAAATTAATCAACGGGTTAAAGTTCTTAAATGTCGCTAAGTGTTATTGTCAAGTATGGTTTTCATGCCTCAAATAATTTGAATAACTAAAATACTTAAAAATGAAACCAGAACCAATGCAATCAACAGGATTAAGTCATTGTATGTTAAGTGTATTATTAAAGTATAGTTGTCACACATCAAGCAGAATCTAAATTTAACAACTTTTGACAGCAGAAACGTCATACTTGACAGTTCAATGATATGACTATTGTAATTATTAGTTTACATCAGAAATTTACTAAATCGTAACAAGAAATAGGATTAATTCCTTGCATCTCGATTAGAAGTAAATTATACTTGTCACGCCTCAAGTTAACAGATTCTAAATTTAACAACTTTTCACAACAATCAAATTATACACATCTAATAGTTACTTTACAATATCACAATAACTAAAAACTACCAAAAATGTATCTAGAACATATGCAATCAATATGATTAGTTACTTTAATCTCTGTTAGTGGTAAAATATAGTAATTACGCCTTCTGACAGCAGAGTCTAAATTTTGAACTTTTGACAGCAGAAACGTCAAACTAAAAAGTTGAATGATATGACAGTTGTAATAGTTGGTTAACGTCACAATAACAAAATTCAACAGAATCAAGTAAAATTATCCTTTATTTATCTTTAATATGTTCATATATAGGTGAGAAAAATAAAATTCAAAAAAAGAAGACAATTGAAATGTCAAATTATCCTTTATTTTGTTTTAAAATGTATATAATATTACATAATATAAAATTCAACAAAAAAAAGAACAACTGAAACGTGAAATTATTCTTTTTTTATTATTACTTTATTAAAAAAAAAATAAGAAGTTTAAAGTCAAGAATAATAAAAGAGAACTGAAATGTCAAATTATTCTTTACATTTTCATAATCAGTTGACCAAAACGAAAGAATTTAAGAAAAATAAACGAAGACAACTGAAACGTCGAATTTTCCTTTATTTTGTATTCAAATTTTCATAATCAATTAAACAAAAAAATAAAAATAGAAAAATATAAGAAAACAACTGAAACGTTAAATTATCCTTTATTTTACTTTAAAATGTTGGTAATCATTTAAAAACAATAAGAGAAAGAAATGTCAACTGAAACGTCAAATTAATCAAATATTTTTGTAATTAACTCAAATTGCTTTAATTATTGTTGACGTAAAACTGTTTCAATTTTAATTAATTAACATTAATTTCTGATTACGAAATACATTAATAACAACAAAGAAATGCTTTCGCCAAGTGGCAATGAACTTAAATCGTAAATAAATTAAAGCGACTTTCACGTAAAAGATCGACTGCATGAGACGCGCACACACACACGTTCACTTCCTGCCAGACAAGACAAATAATTTCCTGTTCTTGTAAATTTTCACAATAAGAATTCACGTTTTATTTATTTATGTTTTTAATAAAAGTGAAATGAAGAAGAAAACGTTGAGTAATCCGTTTTGCAAGCTTTCACCGAGTCGAGAACATCGAGGTGACTTAGCATGTGGGACAATAGTATTAATTATTAATTAATTTCATTACATAATTATGAGCATAAAACAATACACAATTAAAAGTAATCATTAATTTATTAATAAAAAATGCGAAAAATATTTCATTAATAATGAGAAACAAGAAAATTTTTAATAATTATAAAGAAAATCAAACAGAAAAATTCATCTGATAATTGATAAAAAATTAATTACAATAAGAAAAAAGTCGAATTTAAACAATGGTTTTTTTATTGGATTTATTATGTAATTTCACACTGCACATACCTGACACATAATTCAGCGTTTAAATATTGTTTAAGGTCAGAAAGGACACTTACGATAATTGAGTAAACACAAAAAATAAATCAGTGAAAAGTGGTGAAACTTTATTTTTTTTTAAATAATTGTGTAAAACAAGAGCTGATGGCATAATTAGATAAGTTTGTTTGCTGTTCATGTTTTTTACCCGCATTTTTATTACAATTTTACGTGAATCGGTGTGTAATTGATTTGGCCTAGATTTTGCATTGTTCAAATATGTTTTGTTGAAACATTTAACCTATACATTGGGAATAAAAGAAAAACGGAAATATTTTTAACATATTTTTTTTAATTTATTTAGTTTAGTTGAAGAAAAAAAGTTATTAGAAATGAAAGACAAATTAAGCGCCTAATTATCCTGTATTTCACTATAAAATCTTCGTAATCATTTCGGGAAAAAAATATTTATAACAAATATAAATGAATAAATAAGAAAACAACTGAAATGTTAAAGTATACTTAATTTTACTTTAAAATGTTCATAATTTGTTTAAAAAAAAAGTATTTTCATATTCAATTTAATTATTAATGTTATTTATATTAAACAGATGAGTGTTTAATCTAGTTTAAGGCAAATGTCAAAATGTTACTTACTTTGCATTAAAATGTTTATAATTGGTTGAAGAAAAAAGCAATTATATAATTTAAACTTCAAGAATATGAAAGACAAATGAAGTGGACAAATTATCTTTTATTTCACTATAAAATATTCGTAATCATTTTGGGAAAAAAGTATTTATAACAAAAAAAAATGAAGCAATAAGAAAACAACTGTCAAAGTATACTTTATTTTGTTTTAATCTGTTCTTATTAAAGTTACTTATTTTAAACAGATGACCGTTTGAACTAGTTTAAGGCGAATTTAGGGAAAAATGTAAATAATTTATAATATTTTATTGAATAAAATTTTATTTTTTCATTTCCACTAAAGATAAAAAAAAATACCCAATATTATAGAAGAAATTGATTGTAAAAATAAAAAATGTAATTGACTAAAAAAAATAATGAAGAAAAATAGATTGAATAAACTTGTACAATTTTATTCTATTCGAAAAACTCATTGCGATGTTGACGACCTTTCGCACGATTCACATAACAAACTTCTTCCTCGTTGCGTAAAACCTTAAAATTTGCATCAGCACCAAAAATATTTTAGAACTTATATATCTTCTTTTTTTTCGTCAATTCGCACGAATCTCTTAAACATTACTCAAGGAATATTGACTTTTGATATAACCGTTTAAGTTGACTTACCGCATTAGCGAAACAATAAAACCGTTCTTTTTATTTTACTTTACTTGGTTATTTGTTAAATTCCATTCTTCGCGAATAAGTTACGTGAACTGTTCTTTTTTTTCGCTCAATTTAGATTCTTTAAATTCCATCAATGTTTGTTAATATATGGTAATTTTTTTGTTATTCAACTGTTTACTTTCTTAGCAATAATATTATGTAAGTGCACAGACTTTGTTTTCGTCGTTCCAAATCAACTGTTTTTTTTCTTTTGTATTGAGATTATATGCATTCTATTCATATTTAATATTGTTTGTTCAATTGTCTGTCTTAAATAATTATTATTTCATTACAGTTGTAAATATTGATTTTTTTTTTTGTAATAATAATTTTTTTTTGTTCTTATAAATAAATAAATCCGTAACATAGAATCATTTCTTGTTAATCGTTGTTAAAAATCATAGTATTATTTCATTTGAATAAGTAGATAAAATAACATAATGTATGTAAATACGTGTGTTAATGTTGGACATTTTAACTGAAATGTTTAATGCGATAGTGAATTTTTAATATGCGTAATTGGGGAAATGCGCACGAAATGTTTCCATTTTCGTGTAGATTTGCTTAGTCGTCATTTGTATCGATTTAAAATTGACAAAGGAAACACACAAATAGAACAAGAAATGTATTTCCACAGTAAAAAAAAAGCTACTTTAATTTTTATTGTCAAGACTTAATTTTTCATGGATCTGATTTTCATTATTATATTCTGATTTTCGGGTCTATTTGATATAGACTTGCTCATAATAAATCTTAAGAATAAGAAATATTCTACAATACAATTAGATTTTGTTACTGTCGGAATCAGGGTTGTCGGTTGCCACCGCTGATTATCAGTTGTTATGGATCTTTTTTTTGTTTTTCGTAGATCTGATTTTCATTTGTTATGGATCTATTATTCATTTTCAATCGACTAGATCTTCTTAATTTTCATTTGTTACGGTTTAGTTTTTCATTTTTGGTAAAACTGATTTTCTTTTATTGTTTATCTGATTTTCATTTGTTACTGATCAATTTTTCATTTTTCGTAGTTTTGAATTTATTTTATTGTTTATCTGTTTTTCATTTGTAATGTATCTGTTTTTTAACTTTTCAGTCGATTAGATTTTCCTAATTTTCCTTTGTTTATCGAATAGTTTTTTATTTTCTTGTAGATCTAATTTTCATTTATTGTCTATTTGATTTTCACTTGTTATGAATCTGCTTTTTCAATTTCAATCAATTTGATTTTTGTATTGTTTATCTGATTTTCATTTGTTACGGATCAGTTTTTCATTTCTCGTAGTTCTGATTTTAATTTGTTTACGAATCAGTTTTTTATTTGTTTATGTAGATCAAATTTTCATTTGCTTTTCCGTTTCCATGGATTTGATTATCATAATCACTTGATAATCGCTTATTATTAATCTAATTTTCATTTGTTATGGATTAGTTTTTCAATTTTTTATAGATCAAATTTTCACTTGTTTTTATTTTTTTTAGATCTGAATTTCTTTAATTGTTTATCTGATTTTCATTTCTCGTAGCTTTCTTAATTTTCATTTGTTTACGAATTAGTTTTTCAAGTTTTTGTTGTAGATCTAATTTTCATTTATTGTCTATTTAATTTTCACATGTTTTTTATCATTTTCAATCGATTTGATTTTTCTGATTTTCACTAGTTTTTTTATCATTTTCAATAGATTTTATTTTGCTAATTTTCATTTGTTTACGAAACAGTTTTTCATTTTATTTGTAGAACTAATTGTCATTTGTTTTAAACCTATTTTTTTGAATGAATTGAATATTCATTTGTGTTTCCGTTTCCACGGATTTGGTTTTCATAATCACTTGATTATTAATGTTATTAATTTTATTTTCATTTATTATTATACAATTTTTATTCATTTTATTTTCAATTTTACATTAATATTAATTGTTATTTTATTTATGTCTTCAGATACGGTTGGATGTTTCGAGGTGCCACATTCGAGATCACCGCTGCAGAAGACACCGGAAGCACCGGAAACATTGGACACCAAGTTCTTCCTGTTTCGTAGAAACATCAACTTTTCAGAACCGGAAGTCATTTATTACGAAGACGGCGGTAAAAGCCTTTCGGCGTCAAAGTTCAATTTCGAACAACCCTTAAGGATCTTCATACATGGGTACATGAGTAAATGGAACGAGCGTGGAGCTTTCGTCTTTGCAGATTCTTTTCTCAAAATGGTAAGTCTACTTAAAATATAATGATAGGACAACATACAATCTAATCACAAGTCTACTTACAAGCTAATAGTAACTCTACTTAAAATCTAATGGTAAGACTTCTTAGAATCTAACGGTAAATCTACTTAGAATATAATGCTAAGACTACTTAGATTGTATTGGTAAATTTACTTATAACCAAGTGGTAAGACCACTTAGAATCTAATGCTAAGACTACTTAGGATGTATTGGTAAATCTACTTAGAAGCTAGTGGTAAGACTACTTAGAATCTAATGGTAACACTACTTAGAATCTAATGGTAAGTCTACTTAGAATCTGATTCTGAGACTACTTAGAATGTATTGGTAAATCAACATGGTAAGACTATTTAGAATCTAATAGTGACACTACTAGTAAGTCTACTTAGTAAGAATCTACTAGTAAGTCTACTTAGAATCTAACGGTAAATCTACTTAGAATCTAATGCTAAGACTACTTAGAATGTATTGGTAAAATTACTTATAAGCTAGTGGTAAGACTACTTAGAATGTATTTGTAAATTTACTTATAACCTAGTGGTAAGAATCTAATGCAAAGACTACTTAAGATGTTTCGGTAAATCTACTTAGAACCTAGTGGTAAGACTGCTTAGAATCTAGTGGCAAGACTACTTAGAATTTAATTATGAGACTACTTAGAATCTAATGGTAAATCTACTTAGAATCTGATGCTAAGGCTACTTAAAATGTATTGGTAAATCTACTTAGAACCTAATGGTAAGACTATTTAGAATAAAATCTACTTAGAATCTAATAATACCGAAGAAATATCTGTGTTTATTTTTTTGAAAGATACAAATCGAAATCAATGTGACTAATAATTATTTACTTAAAGAAAAGATTTGTTTGTTGAGAAATAAATTATTACACTAATTAATCATCTTGTTAATTTAATAAATCGTTACTTCAAGTGCACTGAAATGGAATTTAATCATTATTAATTAATTCTTGCAATGCTATAATGAATTTCAATTACACAACACGTACGTTTGCTAATTGCTATTACTCAAGGTTAGGAATTGTTAGTGTCTAACTAAAAAGGTCATTTAAACTAATTAAAATGTAATTATCAACATTGATAAATTAAACTGGAGTATATAATTAAAAAAAATATATATGAAACAATATGAAATAAAAGTTAAACCGCAAAGAAAATCAATTTCTAAACTATTTCTCTAAGGAAGTGAAACCAAAGAATAAATCGATTCGATTCAGAAAAGTTATATAAGTTGAATTTAAAAAAAATGCAAATGGTAAAGAAATAGTAAAAGTTTCTTCAAGAAAAAATATTTCAAATATTTTTAATATAATTATCAAATATTTATTGTATTACATTCTGTTCACAAAATATATTTTCTTGACAAAATTGGATAAATTTTGAATTTTATTTGTCAAACATCTAAATTTGACAATCAAAATGTCAAAATATTACAAGATTATCAATTGCGTAAAAATGTTATATATTTCAATGTTAATAAAGTATAATTTATTGCATAAATAAAAATACAAATAAATATGATTATTTTTGTTAATTTACTAACAATTTCACTATTTCTATTTAACTCTTAATTTAAATTTGATAAATTAATGAACTCTACTTGTCAGAAGAAAACGTCACATTGAATTGACATTTAAACTGTCATTTTTTTTTTCATTTTTTTTTAAATTGACACAATTTATTTATGGGTAATAGTTTTAGGAAGTTAAGCAAGATTCAGTGATGATAGAGTTTGGATTGATGATCCAATTATTATAATCATCGTGATTATTAGGAATGGAAACATATTTTTTATAGATTTATTATATAACATTTGTTGGTTTACTTATATTAATGATATTTCTTTAATGTTAATTCCTGCAATTTACTCGTATTAAAAAGAAAATCGAGTTTGATTACTTTTATTTCCAATCGAAGTGTAATTTTCTTTTGATTATTTCCTCAAGGAATTGCTATTAATCCATTATACTAATTTTATTCATAATTTATTAATTTCATGTATACATCAAGGGCAATAACATTGAATAAAGTAATTATACAGAACAATAAAAATATCTCATATAGTACGGGTATTATGTATAAAACCGGACTATTCGAGGACTTAATCATAAAGAGAACAAGAAGAGAGTAAAATATAGATTTAAAAAAAACGAACACTTATGATAATTATGTGTATTCATTTTTTAGAAATTATTTTACTCAATTATTAAAATTTATTTTTGCACATTTTCAAACCGTACTATACTGAATCCGCACTATTCGAGGTATTACTAAACTTACTTCAATTAGAGCAATTTATATGATATGTCAATACTAAAAAAGATTGACGCAATATTCATTAGAATTTCATTTGTAATATATTTATTTTACCTTGATCAAATTTTAATAAATAACATGATATAAACTATACATTAACTAATAAATAAAATTGACATTTGACATATGTCAATATAAAAAAAATATATCAACAGAAATTAATATTCATTGTTTCACCTTGAATCAAATCTAGACCCAATGTCAATTTTATTTATTATATGAATAATTATACGTATAAATGAATAAATATTTAAATATACATAAATCTAGCATAGAAAGTATACAATAATTCGTGACAATTTTCAAAATAAAGTGATTTGAATGAAGGTTATTTGTTGCAATTAAAGTTTGAATCGTATATCAGCGTCTCTAAATTGGGTCGCGAAATGACAGGTGTCACTTTATGTCAAAACAGGGAAATGCACTTATCAATTGGATCGCAGTACAACTACAAACAAACATATTGGATCGCATTGCCAGAAGACATGAAGAAATTTACTTGTTTTAATTAAAGTGTGTATATTATGTAGACAGTAAGAAAGAAATCAAACGTAAATTAATAATAACAGCTTATTAAAAGGCTTCGCCTTGAATAAAATCGTAAACAGATGTGGACTTATTCTGTTAACACCGTTTACGTGATTTCTCTTCTCTCAGAAGCATAAATGTCTTGACCTTCCCGAATACCCAATTTCGTATACAATCCAATTTTTCTGCATGATTCCGTACATTTTCAGTGCAACAACAAATGATGACAACGATAACATCAGCAATAAATAATAACAAAGAAATGAAAAAAAAGGAAGTGCGTCGGAAACGTTTACCTTTCTAAAAACGCCCTACGATCATTACAAATTGCGTGTGACTGCACAAAAGCAGCATTAATTATTCACCTGAAAACGGGAATAAATTGTAAAGAGCAAGTGAACAGGTGGAAAAATGTTCATTATTCGTGTCAATATGGGAAAAAAGAGAAGTAAATAGAGAAGAAATACATATATTTTTTTTTTGGTTGTGTGCGCAACAATGGTTGGGCGCGCCAGGAATTAAGGGCGCGACAGTAAGTAATCATATTTACCCGAAATCACCCAATTTAATGTAATCAATCATCGGATATTTACCGTGGAGCATATATAAAGAGGAAGGCTAATTCAGTATTGGGAACGAGCGTTTAGCGGACATGATCAAGTTTATAAGAGTAGATGAAGATAGTTTGATTGGTGCAAGAAACAAAGATGTGATGTGATGAGAATACTTATTCTGATGTGTCTGATGTTGGGGTTAGAAGCTTTGGAGTTGATGATGAAAGATGACGATGAGAATAGATCTTTGAACGAATGTCTGTTGAAGATGACTGAGACATATGCAAAGGATGAAGCTGTATCCATCTATGGGAGCAAGGTTTTTGATTACTTTATAACCAAAACTAATACTTCTTTGCTGATCTTCGATTCAATTAAAGCTACGTTAAAGATTACAAAGTTAATCGTGATCAATGTCGAGACTGTTGAAGTTTTGATGAAGATATTGGAGATGCTTTGGGCTGAGACTGTGCTAAATCAAAATCAGAAATTTGTTGTGGTAATTAGTGAGAATCGTGAGGATGAAATCATTGAAGTTCTTTGGAGTTATTCTATAGCGAATTTCGTTATTGCGTCGCAAAGTGGGATTGGTGTGGAGTTCAAAATTTGGTTCCCATTTCAATCAAAGTGCGGCAGCGATTTTAGCACTTCAAAAGTGGTGGCTGGATGTAAATTTGGTAGATTTACCAATGAGAATGACCTGTTTCCTGCGAAGGTTCCAAAGAGCTTGAAGAAATGTCCAATTACCATCAAAACCCAACCTTGGGCGCCATATATTTACAAACCAGTTGGTTTTGATAACCTGACTAAAAGTTACCTATTCCGTGAAGGAGTTGAGATTTCCATCATCAAATTGTTGGCGCAAATAGCCAATTTCACTCCGATCTACCATTTAATTGAAAACGGTCAAAATTGGCGCGAGGATCTTAGCAATAATAAGAGCGTTTTCTCGCAGTTGTGGAGAAGGAAGTATCATATCTTGATCTGCAGTTCTATAGCTACAGTCTTCAGAGATAAGTACTTGGATTATTCAGATTGGTATTATATAGAGAGGGATACGATTTGCGTTCCAACTGCGAGGATTAAGGAGAGTTGGAAGAAGCTCACCACTTTGGTTTACGTGCAGTTGATGATGCTGGGACCTTTATTGATCTACACTTTGATTACTTTGTGGATGACCAAGTTTTTACCTGAAATTAACAGGTACAAGGATTTTGTTGAAATCATCTTTGCTTACGAAGGAGCCTGGTTGAACATCTCCAACCCGATTCTACCGAAAACCTATACAGCTCGGATACTGTACAGCTTCTGGTTGCTCTTCGTTCTCCTGATGAACACAACTGTACAAACATCTCTCTTCAGCGTTCTTAATCAATTAGTCTACGAGCACCAAATCTCTGATAAAGCTGATCTCGTTGCTAGCTCTTTAAACATCTTGATTCCTTGCAACTTTGAAAGATACTTCTCCGATTCACCAATTGATCGAGAAATTATTGAAAGAAACAAAGGATGTGATTACATGTCCAAATGTCTTCACGACGCTTCTGTAAACAGATCTGCAGCAGTTGGCACACAACTGAACGTCTTGAACTTCGATGCGTACAAATACACGGATTATCAAGGAAATGCCATGCTGAAATGCTTTGACGAAAGCTTAGATCAAAACTACATCCGCTCTATAATCTCCAAAAACTACCTCCTGAAAAGCAGATTCGATGAGATCGTCAGAAAAGTTCGTTACTCCGGAATCACCGATTTCGTGATGAGGTATACTTTGTACAAGAGGATGATTGCAAGATTCTACAAGAAGAAGACAAGCACTGAAGCCTTGCGCGATAGGAGGATTCTACGATTCTCCGATTTCAGACTGATCTTCTTCATGTATTTTGTGTGCACGTGCGCTTCGATTTTTACTTTTCTTGCTGAAATTATTATAGTCCAGTGTAAAAAAATAGAGATAAGAAATATTGGAAATAAACAAAAGATTTAATTTTGACCTTGACAGGTATGATCTGTTGACAACCTTTTGATCTATAATCTTAATCCTTATTTTTCTGAATTTTAGTAATACTTATAAACAGAAGTGTCAAATCAATTTTTCAGATTTTCATAAATTTTTGACATTGACATTTCGATTGACATATAATGACATATAGTAAATGAAATTATTAACGAAATATTAATACAATTCTATACACTCTTAATGTGAACAATTTATATAAATCAATTTAATTAATGTGTTTTTGTTGCTAAACAAATATTATTATTAATTAAACTAATTAAATGTCACGTATCGAGCAAAGTTTTGATACTTTGTTCAAAATCACCATGGTAACCATATATAACTTTGTTTTACAACATTTTCTGTACTTCGGTATATCAATCACTTTGCATTTTCATAATTAAGCATTTTTAATAAATGACACACACGGAAATCCAAATACACGAATCAATATATGAACATCAAGCAAATAAATTCGACCTAACATTAAACATATTGATATTATTTCCGCTTAATAAATATTTGTTATTTATTAGAAAATTGTATTTCCTAGAACGTTGAACGACTATTATTATGTTTATAACTTATGAGTATGATTTACAATCTACAGTAAACATATCATTAAAATTAATATTTATATGTAGTGTATACAAAATATTTTAGTATTATTTATACAATTAGTATACTTAGACTATATTTATACTGAAATTGACACATGAGAGACAAGTGTTTTCAAATGTCAAAATTATGTAATTCCTAAGATTAAAATAACTTAATTTAAAAGTAAAAATGCAAAAAAACCTAAAAATGTTTACATGTTCAATTTACATAAATGTTTATAAATGATTGTATATAAAAAAATCACTTAACTATTTTTTTTTATGAAATAATGTAACAACAATATTTCTAAAGACCAGTTGGAAAGTGTACATAAAACAATAATTAACTATTTCCAATTGCATGGAATCAACGGTTTGATGCGTTGCAATTAAAGAGATTGGTGATTGAAAGAACAAAGGGGGGAAAAAGCGTAAAATTAACGTTAATTAACGATAATTAAAATGCGAGATGTTGGATGCAACAACTGCAATTGTACCAAATAAGCAATGACAAATGCATTTGCGAGAGGAAAGTGGAAAGGATCGGAATTGCGTTCGCGCGGGATTTCAACATCCTCGGGAGTTGCGTGCGATCGTAAAGAAAAATACAGACATAGATGGAATTACAGTAAATATTGCACAAACAACTTGAAAATACGTGCGTGGAATTTGAAATTTCGTTGTATTTTAGAAAAGTTCTGCATTCTATTTCATTTTGCAGTAGATAAGATTATGCAATGAATGAACTAAATCGTTTTAGTAAAAGATTTTTTCAGAATATTTAACTTCTCAGTTTTTCAATAGTAAATTATGTAGTTTGAGATTATCAGATAGCAAACATTTAAATTAAATTTGACATTTATGAATGACAATACTAATTAAGTTCAACTGTTAAATGTTTGATTAGATTAATTAGGTTAGGTTAAATTTTAAAGGTGTCCACAGAGTACTCGATTCTGCCAAGTACTAATTATTTACTAAAATGATAGTTTACAGCTGATGCATCAAAAGTTCAAGATCATTTAGGTCAGTGTTTTTCAACCTATAGGTACTATTACATTCTTAATGTATCGCTAAATGACAGCTGTCACCTTGTGTCAAAGTGAGAAACTGATGAAATACTTGAAATTGGGTTGTTGTACAAACACTAAAAGGTAGAGAAATACTAATTTATACTTTTCTTTCAGAATGACAGTAATTTCATTGTCATGGATTGGTCTAAAGGTGCCAGAGGACCTCAGTATACTACAGCAGCAGCAAACACGGAATTAGCAGGAAGACAACTTGGTATACTGCTGATGGCTATGATCAACAACGGATTGAGCTCTAAGAAAATTCATTTGATCGGATTTTCCTTGGGTGCTCACGTCGCTGGATGCGCTTCAGAACTGTTAAAATCTAACGGAAAGATGTTGGGAAGGATCACCGGTTCGTATCTAAATATTAGTATCTTAAAGGTTTACTAATGATGTAACATGAAGGACTGGACGCCGCTGGACCTTTGTTCCGACACAACCATCTGAAGGAGCGGTCCAAGAAATTGGACATATCCGACGCGGATTTCGTTGATGTTTTACACACTGACTCGAGTCCGGTGAGTCTAATCATTATTTTTTTTTTGGAAAACTAAAGAAGGAAAATTTAAGGTTTTCGTTGATGGTTTCGGTCTTTGGGAACCAATCGGACACGTCGATTACTTCGCCAATGGAGGTCAAGAACAACCTGGCTGCACTGACAGACATCCTTCTGTTGTCGTCACTACTTTTGGTCTGAACTTATTCAAGAAAATTAAGTTTAAGTAATAATCAATATTTTTCTTAAAACAGAAAGGACTTTAAGTAGAGACACAGCCTGTAGCCACATCAGAGCAGTCCACTTATTCCTGGAGTATCTTCAGAACAAATTGTCCGGAAACGGATGCGAATTCACGGCGTTTAAATGCCCCGGAGGACTTCCTTCCTTGTCAACGGTCAATGCTTCCCGCAACTTGGGGATAGGGAAACAGATAAATTGGCTTTGAGCCCTAAATACCACGATTTGGGAACGTTCGGAGAGCCGAGAGGTGATGGTGTCATGTACTTTGTGACGCGCGGCAATTCGCAGTTTTGCGGTGAGTCAAAAACACAGCTTAGAGTAAATTGAAGGTATTTATTAATTGCTATTTAGGAACCCAACTCCAGGCCGTTGTAGATGTTTCTTCGAAGACCGAAGCGGCGAGAGGAATGTTGTCTATGAAGATGTTGCACGGGAATTTCAGTACGAAATTCTCTTTTAACTTCGAGTAAGTCAATAGATAATTTTGTAAAAACGTGTACCTTTTCAATATTGTTTATTTATCCGGACTAACGTACATATATTCATGCAAACGTACAATGATATCAGGTTTTCTATACTCATATATGTATATATTATTTACTATGAAAATTTGTACGTTCGTATGAATGACAAGTACGTACGTGCGAACGTGTACACAAAAATTAATACGTGCTTTGATAAAACAATTTAATAACGTACATTTGCTAAGGGTACTCCAGATGTACGTTAACTGAACGCTGACCTACATTTGGTTTTTCTTACAGCTTTTCAGAGAGTGTGAGTTCACCGCTTTACTCTATCAAAGCCGCCCAGTTCAAATCGATGGACTCGAATGTTGAGAGCGTTTCAGCTTACGTAAGCTTCATACCTTTCGAAGACAACAACAATGACACTTCGCATTCCGGCAAGAGTTTTGCGTTTGATAAATTGATGATAAGGGACATGTACGGACACAGGTAATAATTATGTAGACTAAACTTCACTACATAATAAATTAATTAATATTTACTACAAAAAACTATTACTTTATAAACTTTTTATAGATTCAGGCTAATCCTAAAATTTGAAATATTGAACAAATTTATTCTAGTAAAGCAATCTTAATTTCACTAATTATTATACTATTTTAGACTAATCAAGTTTACAATTTTTGTGTATCTAATTCTCTTCTATTTGTATTTTTTGCAGTTGGAGTTTCTGCGGTGGAAATACAGTTGTCGGTTTATCTAAACTTGGACCGATTTCGGTGAAACTGAGCAGAAAAGGGTGCAGCGTTTAATTTCCTCCCCAAATTCCATTAAATGTGTTCAATGGAAATTCTATGAAGATTGAAAGTGCACGTATATTGAACGTTGCTGCAAATAACTAATAGCGGACCAAGTGATAAACGTTTTGTTTTCCGAAACGATGTTTTATTTAAATTATTATACTGTCTATATATTTTATTTTCGTTTTAAATAATAAATTAATAGAAACTAAAACCTTGTTCAAATCATTCAGCCTCTCAATATTTATTATATATCTTTGTTCTGTTTTCATTAAAATTTCAGTTACAAACAAATAGAGTAAATTTTCTTATTGTACTTATTAGTAAAAATACTGATTTACTTATTTTTTTAGTAAAAATTACTGATTTTCTCGGAAACTATAATAAATTGAATACATTCTTAAGATACATATGAAAGCTGCATGTTTTGTGATTGTAGAAAATCGATTTCCAAACTGTGAGGCGCGCGAATATTAGTTACAGTGAGAAATTTTACAAATGACTGCTAAAGTTTTAACTATTTTATAAAATTGAGGGGTGAGGGGAGGCGCCAAATGATTAAATACTTTTAAGGGAGGCGTAGTAACATCAAGTTTGGAAACCACTGATGTAGAGAGTATTCATACATTGTTGTGGTTTACTCCATGTCGCTGTAATTCGCATTCAAAGTTGAAACAAATGAAAAATTAACGTTCGAAAAAGCAGTGTTTTCACATTTTAGTGATTTTCTCGGAAACTATAATAGACCGGTGGCAATCGCAAGCCCGACAACCGAAATCCCGTCTATCGAAATCCCGACGTTCGAAATCCCTGCTGTCTCAAAATCCCGACTACATTGAAATCCCGACTACCATAATCCCGACAATCAAAATCCCGACAGTGTCTTTTTTATTATAAATTTCCACAATAACATTTTTATGGTAGTCGGGATTTCGATATAGTCGGGATTTCAATAGACGGTCTTTCGGTTGTCGGGCTTTCGATATAGCCCCATAATAGACATAATCAAGTTTGTCTGCTATTATGTAATAGGAACAGCGCCAAAACCGATGAACTATAAAGTTTAAGTGTAATGTTAATAGATGTTATATTTATATATTTCAGCTAATTTTGATACTTTTCTAATTTGGACTTGAAAATTGAATTAATTACTTAATTATCAAATACAATTAATTATATAATATTGTATTCTCATACAATTTACTGTTGTTATATTTTACTATATGTATATGCGGTTGCATATAGTAAATTAAACTTTAGCTAATTTTGGTGCGTTTCCTATTGACATATAACGGTTTATTTTATTATTTAATTAACAAATGCAATTAATTATATAATTAGTCTAATCATTTAAAATTAACTTATTTATGTTTTGCAAGCTGTATGTTTGGTTGCATACAGTATTGTTAACTTATTGTAATATATAACAATCTGTTAAATTGACATTAAAAAGTACCATTAAAAATATTATTATGAATAGAAATTGAAGTCAATTAAGACAGATTTTAATTAAGAAAAATTATTATTTCATTATTATCACAATTTTAAGAGATTGCAAATTACTAGAATCACTGATTTTAAAAAATATGTTTAATTGTTTACTGGTAATTATTCAATATTAAAACAATTGAAAATAAATTAAGTAAAGAATGATTAGGACAAGTAGGTAGGTATATTTTGCCAACAAACAAATGAATTAGCAGTGCGTACCAACTTTATTCGTTCAAAAAAATGCATATGATTCGAAACATTAAATAAGTTCAAAAATTCAAGTGGTAGAAGTACAGGCCAATAAAACTTCTACGCGATCTATAATATTACTTAGTAGAAAACCAAAACATAAAAAATTCAAAAAAAAAATAAACACATTTTATACATACAACGTTACGTTACGTCAAGAATGAGAGGGGGAAATTAACAAAAAAAAAATAATAATAATAGAGATTGAGTATGAAAATTTTACGTTCAGTTCCGTTGAAATAGAACTTTGTGAATTGTGGATATATCCGGCACCAATTTATTGGACGAAGCTCCCTTCCTTACACTGAAAATAAACATTCGTTAGTAAAGATTTAAACTTTTATAGTTATTATAACTCACCCTTCCGTGGTTTTGATGGCAGGTGCTGTGGGATTGTTTCCAGGCCTGTTATTGACCAACAGACACTTCATAGGTTGACCATCCAACTGCCTATTGTGATAAGTGTCTACAGCCTTTTGCGCATCTTTCAGATTTTTGTAGATCACTTCAGCCGTGCCTGGACGCACCAATCTGGCTACGAAGAGCTGACCAATATCTTCAAATAACTCCTAAAACAAACAAAAGGTTTTCCTTTGTTAAACATTTCAATTTAGTTCAGAGTTAATGGTTGTTAGGAAACATATTAGATTATGTTCTTATAATTTCTGAATTTCTGAAAACTAAAATTGATATTTCATATGAAATAATTAAGGAACTGTTACTTTTGATGAAAAACTATTAGACTTGACTAGTGAAACTATTGAAAAATTCGAATTCTCTTAAGAAATACCATTAATTAACAGAAAACTTGAATATGATGTTGGAAATATCAATCTTGTACCTTTATTTAACTTACCCTAATGTCATCTTGTGTAACTGATGTCTGTAAATTAGAGACAACTATCCTATGACCCATGGGCACCACAGCCATGACATTAGACTTGGGCACACTTGATGAAGGTTTAGAGTCCAACCTTGAATGGATGTCAGAAGACATCCTGCCCATACCAGGCCTAGTCATTGTCTCCACCACCATAGGTTCATCCTCGATGGACCTCATTTTCGACGAGAACGTACTCCAATCACCGCTACTCCTGTCACTGACCAACCCCCTGGAAATGGTCAAATCCATGTGTGGCCTAGGCATATCCACCTGATACGATGGATAATACCTGTAAATATCCGGGTGATGATCGTACCCGAACTGCGGCATCATCGGCATCGAATAATCGTTACGTATAGTCTTCTTAAGCACCGGAGGCTGAAACTCCTTCGTCGGCCTCTTCGCCATCTTCTTAATCGGCCTGCTCGCTCTCGGCGCCGTCAACAATCCCAACTGCTGCTGAATCTTCGTGTTCATTGTCGACGGCATACGATTTTTATTAGTCACCAGCGAGATTTTACCATTACGATCTGTCTTCTTCAGAATGTTGTGCCCAATCACCTGCACATTGTGATTGTCATTTCCATTCACCTTCTGCCTCAGCCTAACCAATTTACTCCTGGCATCTTTACCTTTCGCCATGCTAGCCAGTATATCTCTGGCATCAGTCACAGTGTTCCTCTTCTTCTGGATGATTTTCTGTCTGGCATCACCAACCACCTTCTTTTTGATCACTTTACCACCTCCGGAGACGCGCTTCCTGATGCCATTGTTAGACCTATCTGCATTAGCCTTCTTGTTACTACAACAACAACAACAACAAACAAACAATCAATTAGCAACTAAACAAAGTGTAATTTTGGAGGTAACCAAAATAGATATTTCTTAAGTTTCCACGAATGTGGGAGGTTACGAAGAACGCTTGACCGCATTTGGAGCTGCATACAAAAATTCTTCACACATAACGTTCACTTACCGAAAACTGGTGTTGGCCATTTTCGCGCGTCTAGGTTATAGATCGAGTGCGATCTTCAAAATACTGTTTATATTCCAGATTAATTGAAATACTAAATGAACACTGAATGATTGCATGCAAAACACACAATACAAATTAATATTCTCCCTCCTTCCTACGATCAACTGTCAGCTTGCATTTGGTCGATGACTGCAATTTCAATGCTGCCAACGCGAAAGTTCTTAGGATATTGGCAGCTCCGAATATGACCATGACCTAAATATATTCAAAATCTACATCAAACCAAAACTTTCAATTATCTATTTAATTACTCCATTTAATATAAACAAAAGCTTTTTAATTATTCATTACAATTCTATAGAATTTAATTATTTATATATCATTAATTAACACAAACTATAAACAATAGTATTGCTTAATTATTGATTAATAAACAAAGATTACTAGCAAAGAAAATTGATAATCAATACAATTTTTACACATAATTGTCATATTAGTTTTAACACTAATAATAATAGTTTATAATTGTTTCCATTTATCCAAAAATTTAAAGTTTTGCAAAATTAATTTCAGATTTTTCATATTTAATTAATCCGACGATATTAATTACCATAGAAACCAATGTAGAATCTTCACTAAAGACTAAATTAATCCGATTTTATTCATACCTATTAATACAATTCTATAAAAATTTGATTGTGAATCATTTGATTAAGCTCACTACCTGCCAATGGTATTTAATTACGTTGCAATCTGCGGTTTGCCAATTTCTGACAATAATTAGGTATATTTTTAAGGGTCTATATCGCAAACCCGACAACCGAAAGACCGTCTATTGAAATCCCGGCTTTATTAAAATCCCGACTACCGTAATCCCGACTATATCGAAATCCCGACTACCATACAAATGTTATTGTAGAAATTTATAATAATAAAAGACACTGTCGGGATTTGGATATAGTCGGGATTTCAATATAGTTGGGATTTTGATTGTCGGGATTATGGTAGTCGGGATTTCGAACGTCGGGATTTTGAGGCAGCCGGGATTTCGAACGTCGGGATTTCGATACACTCGGGATTTTGAACGTCGGGATTTTGAACATCGGGATTTGATAGACGGGATTTCGGTTGTCGGGATTGCGATTGCCACCGTATTTTTAAGAACAAGCAACACTATATTCACTTTACGAAAAACTATTTGTATTCATCGCAAAATAAGCAAATATTTATCATTAATCTTAGATAATTAGAAAAGATGTTAAGTTAATTAATTTCTTAGAAAATTTAATCGATTATTGCTAAAAAAAAAAAACATAGTAAACTTATATAATAAAGGACAAACAAATGATTAAATTTAAAGCTAAATTGTAGATAATTTTAATTTTTTGAAGTAGTAATGGACTTTACATCAAATTAGCACTGATAATATGAAAATTATTTACTTATCTAATGGAAATTTGATCACTTTAGATTTAGAATTATTTGGGGTTTACGTATTACACATCAAATCTTCTTTATTATTGTTTTGAAACAATTGTTGAAAGTGTTCTAACTTGAAGAAAAGAAAAAGTAAGTAATCAAATATAAATGACCAAAATTAATTGCTATAAATTATTCTAAAACTTTTTGTATTCATCGCAAAATAAGCAAATATTTATCATTAATCTTAGATAATTAGAAAAGATGTTAAGTTAATTAAATTCTTAGAAAATTTAATCGATTATTGCTAAAAAAAAAACAAAGTAAACTTATATAATAAAGGACAAACAAATTATTAAGTTTAAAGCTAAATTGTAGATGATTTTAATTTTTTGAAGTAGTAATGGACTTTACATCAAATTAGCACTGATAATATGAAAATTATTTACTTATCTAATGGAAATTTGATCACTTTAGATTTATAATTATTTGGGATTTACGTATTAAACATCAAATCTTCTTTATTATTGTTTTGAAACAATTATTGAAAGTGTTCCAACTTGAAGAAAAGAAAAAGTAAGTAATCAAATATAAATGACCAAAATTAATTTCTATTAATTAATATAAAACTATTTGTATTCATTGCAAAATAAGCAAATATTTATCATTAATCTTAGATAATTAGAAAAGATGTTAAGTTAATTAAT